GGGGGGCACCAGAAATGGGCTTCACACATTGTGCTCCACACTTACTTGACTTCGAGTTTTGGAGTCTGCAATAGGCCCATAATTATGACATTCCTGCACATTTTTTGACGACTTCAAAGCTGTCCACCATTTTGTTACATGTTGTAATGAATGTATTTTACGCAGGCAGGATGCAAACGTTTGAGTGGTTTTCTTTTCAATTTATTCACATAGTCCGGCATACTTTTGCATCAATATATCGGTACTAGGTGTGCCAATCAATGACACACCACTTAACTGTGCCAAGGACAAGTATAAACCCAATGTTTGTCGTCTGGCTAGTAGCATTTGAGGGCAATAATTCTGAACAAGCCCTTAATGCTTAATATTGATCCAAACCGGAACTCATAAACTGACAGTAACTGTTAATATTTTAAATTTCTTGCCTAATTCAAACAGGACAAGCAAGCACCTACAAATTTTAGAAACAGTGCCATTAGGTTTACAATCATGCAGAGCAGAAAATGAATTTCTAAGCTCACATGGCTAAATGGTGGTAAAGATTCTAAGATTACCAAAATCAGAAGAAAAAAAAAAAATTCACACATTATACAAAAAATGAGAATCAAACCCAGTTTTTGCATGACAAACCAACATAAACCACTAGACTACCCTAAGCCTGCTTTAAACAGGATTTAACGACCCCTGACTTCATGAAAAAAGGTTACTTGCAAAGGTTTTTCAGAGGAGATAAAATTTATGAAATATAATCGTATAGAAAATCTAACTTCAAACCAAGTATTTATGACATTTTTTTTTTAAATGACTGCTACTCCACTATGAGACAACGACGAGATAACAGCAAGACAACTCTGTCATGTAAATGGCATGACCAAACGCCAGCCAATCAGCTGCAGATATTTATATGTATCGCCAATGTCACTGACCGTTTTGAACACCAAGTAAACATAGCAGGGCTTGTCAAAAACAGCTGGGATCGATTCGTCACAAATGACTCACAAATTTAGAAACTGAACCCCCAAAAATATAGCGAGTCATCATGACTGCCTTACAAGGCGGTGTAAAACCCTGGGTATGTACGATATGAATAATGACAAATATCAACACATCACAGCCACACCTGCTACGCATACCGGCTCGTGATGACCATATGCAACATAACCGTCAACATGTTCACAAGCAGCAAGCTGTTGCTCGTCAACTGTACAATGCGTGTACTCAACACTACTGTCACAATGTGCACATAACAGATCAGCTGATTGATTTTGTGAGATGTTGGCTGAGACGGCGGTAATCTGTGATACTTGTCACAGTCTTGGCATAAAGACTATGAATACAGGAACTCCCATCATCATAACAAGAAACAGAGCATCCGATAATTTTGTAAAAATAATGTAGAGAGCTGGAGATAAAACTTTATTTGTTTCAGAATACACTGAAAAAAGTGGAAAGAATTCTGGTCATTCCTGCAACTATATTTTATGGACAGTGTTAGGTTGGCTTCAGTTAACCCTGATTTAGTTCATGGCTAATTCACTTTCATATTGCTTTTGAATAAAATGCATGTTCATAATTAATAAAACATTATATAATGAAATAAGAGGATGGAACGTCCAGAAGCATAGTGTAAAAAGGTTTTTGTCTCAGGTTTTAAAACATTTAATACACATATGATAAAAACAAAACATTTGCAGGACATGCTGACCAAATGTGTTAATATAGATCCCCAGACTCGCTCCTGCAATGTGAAATGTCTTGTATTTAGGTCTGCCCAGCTGGCTCTGCTAAAGAATATACCTGTGTTTTTCTCTCCTCCATTACATAATTCAAATTGTATAAATTTATTTGATGAATTACATTAGGCCAGCCATTTTTGATACCACAAGTGAACCCTGTTAACATGAACTAAAACAAACACAATAACTCATTACTTCAATCATTAAAACAGCCTAAGGGGCCATTTTATAAAACATTGTTGCATTATACAGTGGAAATCGCCTAAGTAAAGACCGCTTAACTAAACAGACCGGATAAGTAAACACTTTTCTTTGGTCCCGGCAACTTTCTTCATTAATTATCACTATTAGAGTCCGGTTAACTAAACTCGGAAAAGTAAACAATACCGCTTAACTAAACGTCTTCTCACGGTCCCTGGAAGTAAATTACTTAACAAAAGATACTGGATAACTAAATTAGCTATCACCACATAATCCGACATGAGGGGCGCGTCAGTCTCCAGTCAAACAAACATCCTGTTTACAGCTCGCTGGCGTCAAGCAGTTGACAATACACTGACAACTGGAGGCCAGCCCTGATAAGTTGTTCATTGTTACATATGCATATATATATACATGCATATGGTTGTCATTTGCAGGTTTTTATAAGTTTGGATAAGTAAAATACCTGATAAGTAAACAATTTTGGCGAGTCCCTTGAAATTTTACTTATTCGGTTTCCACTGTATATGTCTTAGGCATCATACATTTTCAGACTGCAGTGTTTCAGCTAGAACGAGGTGGATCGCATCACAGACTCAGATACACATATCCTGGCTGGTAATATTGTGGCCATACCATGTTTACAGTTAATTGAGGTTTTCATTCACAGTACAAATTACAATGATCCTGCAATAATTGATCTCAATAATAATATTCCTTATCACAATGTATAACACAAAGGCAATGTCTTAAATCCACATAGGTCATTAGTCATGCTGTTTACACCTTAAGTCTGATTAACCTCTGTAACCCGTAATGCATGACGTGAGGAGTTGTTGACTGACTGACCCCTGAAAAAATTAATACCTAAACACTTCCACAGCTTTTATTCAAAGCAACTGTTACCATGGTAACTGATTCAGTCCTTACATAACTGTTGCAAACTATCTGTTAATTACTGAAACTAGAAAAAGTGTTAAAAGAAAGTTGTTTGACTGTTACACAGAGTAGAAATATTTGAAATGAAATAGTCGTTGTTTTTTGGTATCCACGTTATAATGCAAGGCACAAAGAGATCTCTATTGCTTCATTCAACCCCATCTGCAACCAGTTAAATACGTACTGGTAGTTTACATGCTGCATTGAAGTGAGTGAGTGAGTTTAGTTTTATGCTGCTTTTAGCAATATTCCAGCAATATCACGTCAGGGGACACAAGAAATGGGTTTCACACATTGCACCCACGTGGAGAATCGACCCCGTCTTAGGCATGATGAGCAAATGCTTTAACTACTATGATCGATATAACACACACACACACACACACACACACACACACACACACACACACACACACACACACACACACACACACACACACACACACACACACACACACACACACACACACACACACACACACACACACACACACACACACACACACACACACACACACACACACACACTTGGAACATGGTACACTTGATGTTCAAATCTAAAATATTGTTTTTGCAACAGAAATCAATCATGATTGATGATCCAGAAGGACAGAAGGATAAAATTAGAATCCTTATCTTACAACATAATTATATACTAACTAAAGAACACTCAAGGCCATGGCCATGACATTAACTGCTGTCACACGCTAAAATTGGGTGTCCTTCATGCATAACACGTTGAAATTCTCTTGAGAAGTATATATCACACATGTCAAAGTATGGCCATAGTAATATTAGTATATGCAGTATGGGTAATGCGAGATGTCAAATCGTGAATTGTGATTCCTATTTTGGGAATAATCCCCATATAGAGGTCACATGTATCATAATCACCCCACGTTTATTGCTCCTTGTACACGAAAAACACTAATAATATCTACAAGTACTAGGTCAAACCTCCTTATCTGTTTGCTGACCCCTTTCACTATCTGGAAGCCATTACAAGGTCAAAAATAAGAAACATATCCAAGACTCTTGTCTCTACTGTCAATCTGTCTGTCAGTATCTACAGTACCTGTTCACAGCTGTTCATAATATACCAGCTACCTGTTGTATATATGTATTAGCAACCAGTAAATGTTAGTCAGTAAAGACAGTCAAGTACATAGCTACGCATTATGCTGCTAATATATTGTATAGCAATACGTTTCAGGGTTTGACTCGTCGTGCAAATGTGTGTCAAGCAAACAAATAGAGTGAGTGAGGGTTTGACGCGTCGTGCAAATGTGTGTCCAGTACACACAAATATAGTGAGTGAGTGAGTTTAGTTTTATGCTGCTTTTAGCAATATTCCAGCAATATCACAGCGCGGGGACACCAGAAATGGGCACAAATGTAGAAAATGTGCAGAATAAAATTCACTGCGTCCATATTATTCATTGTACCGATATCCCATCTATGATTTTGATAAGAGTTTGGTTGTTTCTTTCAAAGCAGTTACCGGCACCATTTCATCCACCTGTCGATATGATCCAAGAAATTATCCAAACATACAGTTCTCTATACTGTCACTTCACAGGATCCTCATATTGCCTGCAAGGACCCTTAAAACTAATAAATGGGGGTCCGCTGGACCCCGTGTTTAATGTGAGTCGAGGTAAAACTCTGCATTTGCTGAAATAGTGCATGTCTCACCTCTTATGGATTCTGGACGCTTATCCGTTGTTTCTCACCAATTATCGATACATGAAAATGCAGCAGCAACAACTCTGAGACATGTCACTAACTTACAAATGACGGCTTTACATTAAACACAAGCCATTACCAAAGTATTTTCAATGTCAGTGTCGGGCAACACACCTCGAGTAAACACTGACGTCCGAAAACAATCACTTATGATGAAACGAATTGTATATCGAAACAGTAATGTGACTCATAAAGAAACACTCTCGTCTCAGAATTCAGTCTGGGCCTGTATCATAGATATAGATGCTTTTTTATTTAGAACAGGGCAAGTGATACTGTTTCAGAAGCAAAATGAATCATATTTATTATGAGCAAGCATCTTCATGATACAACTGAGTTTCGAATGGTGACAATTACTGAATATGTCGATATCCTCACCTCTTGGATTCCTTGCAGGACCAGGAACGCCACCAGCGGCAATACTTTGCTAATATCCTCAAGTGTCATAACGTCTTCTACATTCGACTTCTTCTATTACTATAACGCTAGTGTCACATCGAACTCAGTCATACAGATAATGGAGTTTGGGGCTATCCCTTCACTTCACCTTGACAGAGAGCTGACCCTGTCAAACCCGGAAGTGAACCGTAACATGTTAGAGTGCTTTCCCTTTGAAAACAGAGGCACTGAATGGGTTATTCAGGTTACACCCCTAAGTGTGTTTTCTGAGTGCGAAGAACTGAAATTTGTCTTTGATGGTAATTTAGAAACGTAATACCAAATTTTCATCTGATGAGGGGTTTAAGAAAATAAAAAATAAAAATTTCGCGCCTATCCAACATAGAAAGGTTGACATGAGCCCAAGAGGAATCGAGAAAAATGAAATACATGTTACCTATTTATATTTTGGTTGAAACATAAGAGGCGTCAAAATTGAAAACTGCGCAGTAGGGAGAAATACACACGCACAGTATCGTCACCTATCCAGAAAGAGCTAAATATGATGATGATGATGTATCATTTAGTACTGAATTTTACTTTGCAAGAGTGAGTGAGTGAGATTAGTTTTACGCCGCTGTTAGCAATATTCCAGCAATATCACAGCGGGGGACACCACAAATGGGCTTCACACATTACACCCATGTGGGGAATCCAACCCGGGCCTTCGGCGTGACAAGAGAACGCTTTAACCACTAGGCTACCCAACCGCCCCTTACATTGTAAGAAATAAATATTATCATATACAAGCTACTGTCCTTCATTGACGTATTAAAATATATATCTATTTGTTTAAAAAAATTAATGACCGAATCTTGCAAAACACCCAAAATTAAGAAATCGGTTGCAGTATAATCTTAAACGCTCTTGCAGTCGAAATTAATATGTTGTTTGTGAGAATTTGAAGTACGATTAATTTTTTCCACTATGTGCGGTGACATGAAATATATTGGAAACTCCCGAATGGCGATAATGGTTTCAGAAGAAATAGTAGGTTTAAAATTATAAAATTATAGCGGAATTGAACGGCATATTTATCTCCTTATTGTAGTATATCCTATTTTCACACCTCTACCGCCAACCGCCAACACTATTTACTAAAGAGGTCTAATGCAGTTAATTTGAAGCGTGATTTACTGGTAATGAAATAATTCGCCTTCCAAACATAATCAACAACTGTACAAACAGTTGATTGTGACACTGATCACACATGCGCTCATTCGTCACCTCGATATTCGTCCATCCGTGACGAACTCGTTATTCCTGGACAAGCCGAATAGCGAGGGTCGAGGGGAATGAGAAGCACTGTGGAAGTGATCAACTCAGGCGTGATTGCATGACGTTACACGTGTGTCCATGCTTTCCTTCAGATGGTATCACTCATTTGTTACACGCCTCAAAACAAAGGACATGGATACTAGATAACCAAGCGAGGCGCGTTAAGCTTCTGAGCTTTGTCATATTGACATAGGATGTTACTTTCATATACGAAGAATTGTTACGGCAATTTGTTGTCAATCCGGATACAACTCGGTTCATCATTGCTAAATTAGGATTTTCGGAGGGGTGTGGAGCCATCTGTGACCAACTCGTGTTATTCCGGGTCAAGCCGAAAAGGGACTGCTTGGAGCATTCCATTAGTGACCAACTCGTGTTATTCCCGGTCAAGCCATCTTGGAGGTTACGGAAAGGGGCGAGCAGTGACGAATGGTGTGGTGCGTGTGTGTTCGTGGGTGGAGGGCTGAGGCGGGGTTGTAATATAATCATATCCCTGCGTTACTGGAAAAATGCATCGCAATTGTAGGACAAAAAGATGTCTTCTTTTCTAGAAGACTGTATGTACAGTTAGTCATTTTTAGTTGTTTATGTTGGAACATTCAAATAAAGACAGATACTGGTCTGAAATAAAACCCTCGCCCCATCCCCTGCAAGATGAATGGTTCTTCTTCAATACAAAACAAGACCCTCCCCGAACCACATCGAACTGTGCCCCCCCTCCCCCCTAGAAAAACACAACAAACAATATACAACATCTATAGCAATTTCCAAGTAACGTAAAACAAATAGAACACCATTGGAAGAAAACATCAACATATTATTTAGAAGCCAAACAATTATATGGAACTATGCACTTAACCGCTATTTGATAGTATACTTGAGACATATTTGATACAGGCAAAGCATTTAACATTTCAAAAAACGAAAACATACTTGAAATTACCATGTACTTTAATTAGGATAATTGTCTTTATTTGAAACAGGGTTTTTTTCTGTCCGAAAACAAGTTACCTTATTTTGAAAAGTGAAAGTAATAATTGATTGTTATGTGGCCTATAAATTCGTTATTTATTGTGAATAGATGAAAGTTGTAAACTAAGATTTAGGAAAAATTAGTCAAACTAAAAAAAAAGTAAAATCTTAAAATGCAGTTAAAGTTGCTTTACAAACAAAACAAACCGATTTTAGCTGTAACTATCGGTATCCAGCAAGGAGAAGTGTTTATTCAATAAAATAAACTCAAAATCATAAAGATTTATTCCAAAATCTTATTAATGTGGCCTTTTCAGTTTTTGTCAATTAATAATCTGAATTGTTGGAAAAAAAGGTCTGCATCTTTGACATTCGGGTTCTTCCTGATTATGCATAATTGAAGCATACTTGATGTGTAAATGTCATCTTGGTATATGACAGAATTGTTATTTTTAGTCAAAACTTAATTTAATAGTGTAGTTTGAGCAGGAGAGGAATAGTTATTTTGGGTAAAAATTCAGTCCCATCACATTTTCATCAACATATTCTTTCATAAAGAATACAAAAGGTTTTGGTATTTGTAAAACTGTCAATGGATAAAGCTTCTTTAACTATAGGTTGATTAAATTGATGGCTATACCCTAACTTCTCTGTAGCATCACATCTTATTTTCAAAATAGGGTGGTGCTTGATTAATGTGTACATGTGAAAATGTCTAGTGAATCTACAGTAGCCTAAATATCTGGCCGGGTTTTGTGTTTTTTTCGTCTTTTTTATTTGTTTGTTTCAGTTTGAGACAGAATAATTTTCAGCAGGCCGGTTTCTGGAGAAAAGCACAAAACGAATTATTTATTTCACTCAAGCATTTCGGGAACTGATTATATTTATCAAAACCAAACAAAGCGATTGGCAGCTATGTATAACACATTAAATTTAGATCCTTCGATGCAATATGCCCGTTTCGTCACAGCATGGAGGAAGGGCGGCGGTGTAGCCAAGTGGGTAAAGCGTTCGCTCGTCACGCCGAAGACCTAGGTTCGATTCCCCACATTGGTACAATGTGTGAAGCCCATTTCTGGTATCCCCGCCGTGATAATGATGGAATATCCCTAAAAAATATTTGCAAAAAAATATTTATTTAATTATAAAAGGATATCATACATAATTTTTCATTTCTTTATCTCAACCTCATGAATAAGAAATCCTTGCCATTAAAATAGAAAACAAGTCAGTATTGAAGAAATCCAGATAATACTTTTTCCCAAAAAATTAAGGGAAAAAGTAATTTGTCACGAGGTTTAATGATTTAATATAATCCCACAGTGGATATTCTGGGTGTTCTGAACAATTAGGCGTTGCTCTTCCTTTCTGATAAAACAGTGTTTGCGTTTAAGGGCGCCGACAAAATATATGTAACTCTTCCTGTAATCTTAAAGGGCTCGGTCCCTAATTAACAAGGGACGGGATGGTTCGCTTCATCAAGGAAGTTAGGAACAGGCCCGAGAGAACTTGTGCTCGGCGCACCCTGTCGGTGCCCCGGGGGCAGATAAACACGTCTTTAGTACCCTGCACCCTTGGATTAGGGAGTATATAAGCCCCGAGAGTCGACACCCATTCATATTGCAACTGTCCGCCTCAGTCTTTCAGTAAAATGGTCCATCAACTCGTCGTCGCTGTGTGTGTGGTGTTGGGGCTGGCCTCTCACCAGGTGTGTGCCCAGTGGTGGGGCATGGGTCAAGGTCAAATGGGAGGAATGGGCGCTGGTGCACTTGGAATTGCTCAAGGTCAAGGTCAAATGGGAGGGATGGGTGCTGGTGCAGTTGGTGGAGGAGGATGGGGAAACAATGTGTTCCAACCGCTGAATCCCAATTTGAGACAAGACAACACCCTGTACCAGACCTGTATCGCCAAGAACTCCAACGGCGATGATATGAAGGTCACCTTCAGTCTTGGCAACAACAACTTCAACAACCCGATATTTAACCGATTCGGTGGAGCCCGTAGCCTGCGTCTCTCAGCTGTCATCGCCTCCAACCCTGCTTCAACTCTCCAAGGTCAGTTCCAGTTGGTCGTCACTGAATTCTCCCGCACTGAAGAGGTGTGTTCCAGCCGTGCTCTCGGCGACATCCTGACCGACCGTTCCTGGTGGAGCCAGTCCCGTACTCCCCGCGGCATCGTGGGCACCCCCGTCACCATCTACCAGGGACAGACCGCCACCTCCTCCGAGACCGTGGAGAACCTGTCCTTCGAGGAGCTGACCGGTCGTGGTCTGGCTCTGTGTCCCTCTCACCAGATCTCTGGGTCTACCTGCATGGACGCCATCCCTCTATGCTGCAAGATCGGCTTCGACAGTCAGCCTGCAACCACCCCATTCACCAACCAGAACCAGCTCTTCGGCCAGGGACTTCTCGGCATGCAGAACCCAGGTAGCAACAACGGAATGGGAGGTGGATTCAACCAGGGACTGGGCGGCGGACTGTCTCAGGGAATGAACCAGGGACTCCCCTCCGGAATGAACGGAGGATTCGGTCAAGGTGGACTCCCTTCAAACAACGCTGGCTCTCCTAACATGGGAGGTCTCGGCTTGTGAAGACAGTCTCAAGATTGAGTGGCTATATGTCCATGGACTACTGAAGTCACTCATCACATGTACTTCGTTTCCATGTTATCGTTTTATCAGATTTTATGTTTTGGAGAATAGTACAAAATTTTATTTTCCTGTTTACAAGACTGAACTGTTTTAAAGTTTCTTTCAAAATATGTCAACTTCAGTTACTTCGACAGATATTTATGTTCGCGATGATCGTTATCACAGAATGGTATGAATGTATTTATTGCAAGGCAGGTTCTTGTGTGGTTGAATGTAATAAATTATCTAACATAAATCCTTGTGTCTATTATTAATGAGTGACGGAGTATGGTTTTACGCCGCCTTTAGCAACATTCCAGCAATATTACGGTGGAGAAAACTGAAAATGGGTGCGCACCCCCCTTTTGCCCTGAAAGTAGTTTATTAAAATGGTAAGAGTTTCACCCGTAACCCGAACTTGAAATGTATTCTATTTATTAGGATTATTTCAGGATTTTAGGGTTAGGATTAGGGTTTTAGGGTTAGGGTGTGGTTTAGGGTTAGGGTAAGGGTTAGTGTTAATTTTTTAAATATAAAAAACATTTGTTCTTAGGTATAGAATGATAAAATAAAACGGGGGTTACGGGCGGTAATCTTTCCCATTATTGTCCCAGGCTAAATTGTATTTTGATGTGAGGGAGTATGATTTTACGCCGCTTTTAGCAATATTTCAGCAACATTAAGGCACTCCAGGAATGGGCTTCATACATTGTACCCATGTGAGAAATCGAACCCGGGTGTTCATCGTGACGAGCGGACGCTTTAAACAAGAGTTATATTGTGACGCGCAGAGTGGAGGATTACAATAGTATAATTGAGACGATTTCCGCATCTGATAAATACGTACTTTTGAAAACATCCTAACTTTAATTACAATATGCAGTCATCTGTGTACCATCAATACCCGGTTCGGGGCATTCCATTTCAATTGGTTTTCAGCAACCCATGTTTGTAAAAGACCACTAACATCAGGTGGTCGGCTCGCCGTATCCCAATTGCGTAGACAGATACTCATAATGTCACTCACTGGATTTTCTTGCCCAGACTTAACTGTTTACAGTGAGTGAGTGAGTTTAGTTTTACACCGCTTTTAACATTATTCCAGCAATATCACGGCGGGGGACACCAGAAATGGGCTTCACACATTGTACCCATGTGGGGATTCGAACCCGGGTCTTCGGCGTGACGAGCCAACGCTTTAACCACTAGGCTACCCCACCGCCCCTTCGGTGTGACGAGCACACGCTTCCCAGATAGCAATGATATGTTGGCCCATAGTTGGCCCATAATCACCATTTTGGTTGGCCCATGGTTGGCAAACGGACGATGGGCCCACTTGGATATGCTCATCGGGTCCACGTTGGCCCATCATGTTGGCTCATTGTTGGGCCAATGAATGGAAAGTCACACTAAACCATGGCCCATACTTGGCCCAACGTAGGGATTTAGTTGGCCTTATGTTGGCACCACCGTGTTTCAACATTTAGCTCTATCTTGACCTTTGTACTAAACCATGGCCCATACTTGGCCCAACGTAGGGATTTAGTTGGCCTTATGTTGGCACAACCGTATTTTAACATTTAGCTCTTTCCTGACCTCTGGAATCAGAAACATATATAAACAACAAAACAAGTTAGTCAAGTGAACTATTTAATTCTTCTTTCATTCCGCCCCCCTTGCCGATCTTTGGCATATCTGAGCCAGTCCTTCATGACTGGCTCTAGTTCAGCATTTGTAGCAGCTGGCATGTTTTTTCGAACTGCTCCTGAAATAATAAAACAACAACATTTCATGAAAACAATCAAGCTTCACCCTTAACAGTTATCGTTGTCATTTAACTTCCATCATCAAACTGTCAGATATCATTATTTTAGACATGAAATATATCGCAAAAGGACGTAGTATTTTACATGTTTTATTTGGATAAGACATTTAACAACTTATGACTGTAACATATATTTCTGGCATGATGATGCTTACGATTTTGGGTTGTAAAGATGAATACTTAGAGAGAGTTGTGTATGGAAACAGCAGTGTAACTGACACTCACGTAAAGTTATTAAACCAGATAGTACTATACGTACTAAATGTTACTAAGTGTCATTGTTTTGCAAACTTACTGATCATGACATCCTTGATAAACAATGAGCTGAAAGCTGCCTTCTTTCCTCCTTTTCCCACCCAGTTATACATTGTAGAAAGAGCATGGCCCAGCACATACTTCATGATACGCCTGACGGCATCTGGGATATTTGTTCCCCCAATTGAACTGAGATGACCACACTGAAACATAATAATAATGGAATATCACTGAAAGAGTCTCCATTTATGATTGTTTAGGATCTGAAACATCATGTGTTGGAAAAAATCTGGGTATTATTGTGTATTTGAATCAGGCATATTTCATTCATAACTGATGGTTCAGCTGGAGCTTCCAAACATAAAAATTACCCAGTTTAAACTGAGTAACACCCAGGAATTGGTCAGTGCTATGGCTAATATGATTGTGCTACATCGTTTCATGTTGGTTAACTGCCAAGATTTATATGTAAGGCACCTGCACCTGCAAAATAAAGACTGGCTGGCTGTGTAGTTTGCAAAAAAAAAATGAACTGGAACACTTTATACCAATGTATTTGTTTTTAAGCTTTTTAAATAGGTTTTCATGTCCAAACCAAATGCAGCAATATCACATTTCCTCTAACTAGGGCCAGGGCACTTATTATTCAACAGACCTCGAGATCCTGCCCCTATTTTTAGGTCTGGCGCTTTAAAGCTTCAACTCAAATAAATGCAAACAATTTACTAATATGTTGTTAAAAGTACTAAGTTAAAGTATGTGTCACAAAAGGTGCTTATTAGAGAACCTGTGCTTATTTAAATTGTTGCTTTACATCCTGTTTACTGTAGGTGGGTGCATATTAATACAGATACTCCAGTGTGCGAAATAGTGTTACTGCACTGAATATCAATGCAGTACTGCATCCAAACCTTACTGCATGTAGAAACAAAATAGCCAAGCCTCTGGAGGTATTCAAACCCCAGACCTCATGATCCAAAGTTGAACACACTGCACTGCCCCATCCGAATTTGCAAACATGACAAAATGATGAAGTGCTAGTTCATTTAATGCTGAATAAAAAGGTACCACTTTATCCTTTACTGTTTGGTCTTCCAGTTTCTCCTCCAGGGCTGTCAGTTCCTGGGGAGTCTCTAGGGGAAACTTAATCCCATCTGGGAGCACATCCATGTTCTCACTTGAGCTTGAGGAGATCTTCCTCAGAATGAGAGTGAGTAGTCTCTGGCTGGTCCTGTTTTGATCCCGTATCTCCTCCAGGAGTTGGAGCATCTTCTCGTCAACTGCAGAGTAGCAAAATACTTTTTGTCAAAGCACGAAATTCTAAACAAAAAATTGTCTTGTACATCAGGGTCTACTGGTCCCCACAGGCAGTTCCGTATTGTGCTATTTTACCCCAGCAAATTAAGAACCAAGCAAGAAAGCAACAATGATCTCAAATCCTTAATGTCTTTTGGTATGGCACAGCCAGGGCCCCATTTCACAAAACTCTCGTAAGCTTAAGATCTCGTAACTTTTCTCGTAGCATTCGTACTCCCTATGTTACAGTATAGGAGGTACGAATGCTATGAGAAAAGTTACGAGATCTTAGGCCTACGAGAGCTTTGTAAAACGGGGCCCTGGATTCTATTCCCGTGGGCGATATACCACTTTGCTACATCCCCAGTATATTTCAGATAAAGGTCCATTTCTCAACATGAATTAATTTACCAGGAATGATATATAAATGTTACTATTTACCTCTCTTTGAGTGTGGTGTTGGAAACGTCTGATTCCGGGAAGTGCTAGGAGAATCTGGGAATAGATTCCTTCGTGGCAGTGGGGCTGGTGGTGGCAAAAGAGTTGGTGGTGGCAAAGGAGCTTGTGGTGGCTGGGGAATGACTGAATCTCTATGGCGCTTTGATGGAGTGCTATCACTGTCAGTATCTGACTCCAGGTAGCGAAACGTAGGTCTGAAAATTTCAAACTGAGTGTCATTTCTCAATAACTGATTATACTAGCAAGCTTTATACATTTGGATGAATTTTTGAAAAATATACTGTTCATTACTCGCCGACACAGAGAACATGAAATTGTAACAATATCGCTGTGATAATGTCATAACTAAGTCACAGACCATTGTGATAGAAGCGCTAACATTGTGACTTCATAAGCAAAACCATCATGATGTCAAACAATTTGGTGCACTCCAGTCTATTACACAATGTGAATTAAACTTGCAGACATATTTAACCTGTTATATCATTAATATCTGAGTAACTATATACTTTTCCAATGTAATTAATCACAATTGATTGAAATTTGAAACTTTGATATATTTGGCTATATCTGAACTCACCGTCTTTTGCGTTTTCCATGGCTTGTTTCCTCATCTGTTTGCAGGTCTGATGTAGTCTCTGCCATTTTGCATTTCTTCAGAGCTTTTTCATAAGTATCTAATTAAAAAAGATGCAAATTTGTAGTATATGATATACCATGGTATTTCTAATGGGCCTCAGGTGCATGATCAACACCAGTACTGTGACATTTTCATAGATGCTATGTTGAGAGAAGCCAACATTTAATCTGTATTTTTATTGGATTGTGATCAGAAACTACACTATGTATTGTTATTGATTAATGAATGCACATATCCAAATTAACAAATAAACGATAGGAACAAAGTTATTTTTTGTGCGGAGAAGAAATGATATGGATATAATGCTTTGCATATTTTGAAACTGTATCGATTTTGTTAATTTGCATTTAATTCAGATACAAACATTTTGCAAAATTGAGTTATTCTATCATGAATGTGTGCAACTCACCACACCTGATACAGGACTCGGCATGGGTATTTCTTGAATGTGTGGTCCGGGTCTTTACAAGACCTTACAGCCTGTCCGGATTTGGCTGGCCTTTTGTATGGGGCCACAAACAGTGAGTCTTCCCGACCATCCATTTCATGGAATGACTTCTACTTCACTTTCGTCGGTGAATATGGCGACAACAAACATTTTCTGGAATAGCCATTAGATTGATAATATATTGTTTTACAACAAAAATGTACTTTTTGTAGTGTTAGATTTTCTCAAATGTAAAGTTGTTTAAAGTGATGGAAATGACTCATGTATCAAAATGCAATGCTCAAGTAAATAAAACTATTATAATGGTTTGGGAATAAATTAAAAAATCTACAGGAACCATCAATAAAATGCAAATCAAATAGGAACATTCTTCCACCCTCCTTCTAAAGAAAATCTGAATCAAACCTTTTAACTATTTTAGAATTATTTACGGCAATTAGACTTGCCAAGATGGTATTATTAGAATAACCTTTGTGTCATTGGAATTGCTACAAATCTGGCCATATGTGGAATCATAACACATTTTGTAACTACATCAGACAATGCCACACAACAATATATATCAGAAAGTTTAGAAACTTCAAAAATTCCAAATACCTTGGATTCAAGGGGGTAACTGAAGAAATCACTCAAACGCAGGAATTTCCTACATATTAAGATAATATCAGAACCAACTTCAACAATATTTTCAACAATGAAAAAATGTCATGTTGGGCTTTGATGCATCGGTCTTGCATTTCTGTCGAAAGAAAAAAATGATTCCATTTGAATTTGTCTGTATTGTATGACAAGGTTGAAACTGCAATGGAAGTGGCCCATCAGAATGGAGTTTTTTCAACATAATATTGATCTGTTCAATTCCTTTGTTGAGTTAAAATTGATGCAAACCTTCTGAAAGGCGTCGAATTATCTGTTGCAAGACAAATGATGGTTTTCTTTACTAATCTCTTCAATCTTGCAAGATAATTTTCATAAGGGAAAGCAGATATGTTA